GAAAGAGGAAAGAGGAGGGACAGCCTGGGCCGGTGAGCTCTGACACGCCCCCCGCATCCCCTAGATACATCCCCTTCTGATCCGGGACCGGAGGAGCGAGTCCAGCCGCAACAAACTGCTGAGACGCACAGTCTCCGTGCCGGTGGAGGGGCGGCCCCACGGCGAGCATGGTACGGCGGCCGAGCAGGCTCTGGTGCCGGACAGTCGCGGGGAGAGGGCTGAAGGTGGATGGGGCTGCTGGGGCGGGGGAAGTCGGGGGTCTGAGGGAGCTGTCCGGGGCTGGGAGGAGGCGGAGACAAAGTCTCGTGTCTTAACAAGTGGGAACCTGGGAGGAGAAGGCGCCCTCCTCTGGGATCTGGAATGGCACCCGGGCTGTGGGTAACAGTCCTTGCTCCGTTTCGCTCTTTTTTCCCTTTCCAGCAGCGAAGTTTGACTTTTCCTGGTGCTAGTAAAAATAGTCTCGTTAGATCTTTAGTTACCCGTCCGAGTGTTCCTGCCCTTGCTTTTCCCAGCTCTTGGTCTGGGATCTTGGAGAGAATGACCTAGTTCCTGTCCTACCCCCAGACCTCTGCCCCACCCCCACGCTCCTGCTTCTTCCAGACCTTCTGGCCTGTAGGCCCTCCCCTCTTTTCTTGTCCCCCTTTTCCTCTTCTCATCAACTGCTTCTATTTTCTGCAATTCTATTACCTTCTTTCTCTTCCTCCAAATTTCCCTTATTTTTCTCTACCCCTCTTGATTCGTCTGTCTCTCCCCTCTGCTCCCAGTGGAACTCCATCAGATCCCCATCTCATCTTTCTGTCTGTCTGTAGAGCTATCTGCTCAGTCTGTCTCTCCAACTCTCTCCCTCTCTCCATCTGTCTCTTCCCCTCCCTCCCAGTTTCTGCCCCCCTCCACCTCCCTCTTTAGTCATTTAAAAAAAGATTTTTGTCTTCCTGAGAAGTTCGCTTAAAAGGTTTCCATGGGAACAGTGAGGGGAGATGAAGGCAGAGAACAGAGATTCGCAGCCAAGGTGTAGAGAGACTCTCTCAGCCCCCGGAAACCCCCTCATCACTGCCCCCTACCACTTCATCCCCATTTCAGGACCAGGGATCCAGGTCCTCCATCCCCCCAACTCCTGGTGACCCCTTTCTTCCACCTGCTACCCCTCCCCTTAGGGATCCAGGCTTCCAGTTTTTCTTCCTTAGAGAGAGCGAGTGGCCTGTCTCTATCTCTTGGCTCCTTTCAGCCCTCTTCTGATAGGCCCAGACCTCACTGCCCTCTGGGACCCTGGGTAGGTGGGTGGCCAAGGATGTGTCATTGTCATAAACACCTCTGACCATAGGGGTGTGTGGGTAGCACAGCCAGGTGGTGGTGGTGGTGGTGGTGGTGGTGGTGGAGTGTGTACAGAGAATGTGTATGATGTCTGTCGTATGCGTGCGTGTGTGTATCTCACAGAGGCATGTTCATGTCTGGGAAAGGTTCGTGTGCACATGTGCATACCTATATGTCCAGGCCAGAATGGTAATATTCTCATGGACCATGTTTTTGGTATGTCTGGTGTTTGGTGTCTCTGCCCACATATTCCCCATCTGTCTCAATACCTTGAGTCCTCGGGGTCTTGGGTCTCTGGTGTGGATCCCCTGTGTGTTTTGGGTGGGGACACCCATGTGTGTTTGGAATGGGGAAAGTATATGGAGGTTGTTGAGTTGGGGGTTCAGTAGGGGTTGGGAGAGGGTCCAGGGGCATATATGTATATATGTATATGTATATGCATATGTACATATGTATATATACACATACACACATATACATGTATATATACACACATATGCATATATATGTTTGGGGGGAGGATTTAGTGAGTTGATAGCTGGTAAACGTTCGGGTTTTCAGGGCAACATGAAATGTGTAAAGGGCATGGAGGATGTGCTGGGGACATTGAGGTCTTGCGGGGGCTGGGTCCGCGAAGGTGTGTGCTGGGGCTGTAGGTGCCCAAGCCCAGGAGAGGTCGCCGGACCTTTGAGGGGCATTGGAATCCAGGGCTCCTCCTCTGCTGGGTGGAGTCGCCGCCCCTCACATTCCCTCCGCGGTTTTGGTGTGTGTGTTGGGGCGGGGGAGGGGGGTCTTGCTCCAGGGGGGATGATGGGAGGCCCAGTTGGTTTGGGGGGTCCCCTCGCCCCCCTCCCCCGTCTCTCTTGCGCTGTCTCCGGGCGACGGGGCTCGTGACAGAGGCGGCCACGGCAGCAGCGGTCGCCTAGCAACGGC